TTAGGCCTATCGATAATTCTGGAAAATGTGACACAGATATTTAAGTATGAAGCCAAATTCAAATGATTTTCGTTTTGCGAAAAATTATCAAAAATTCGCTAAGCACCCAGCCCTAATGTTAGCGCTGTATATGAACTGTGTCTCGGACTAAATAAGATTTTATAAATATTTCCTATAAACATTTTTGCACTTTTATGTTTATTTTCTAAAAATAAGAAGCTCTTATTTTTAGATTTTGCGTATTTTGGACTAAATAAAAATTTTTAAAGTTTTTTCCATAAATATTTGTAGACTTATATGAGTAATTTCGAAAAATATATCACTTGTATTTTAAATCATGATTTAATGAATTCCGCAATGCCATCCACTCAGAGACGAGACGCCTTCAGAGACGGACGTGCCTTGCGAGTTCTCCGAGCCGAGGAGTCGGTCGTCACCCAGCGGGATGACCCATGATGAGTTCCGGCAGTCAGTCGTCACATCCTCCCGTTAGGCTCGGTGATGATTCCTCCAGCCCTTCGTGAGCGTCTGATGCAAGCCTGATGACTGCAGCACTTCTGCGACGTCGATCACTGGACAATGTTTTAAAGACAGAACATCAAGATGAAATAGTTTCCAGATCCAGTCAACGTGAAAACACCGTGTAAGCGGCAGTAGTAAATTGTCTAGTAAACCATTGAACGTAATGATTGCCTCTTGACCTTTCGTTAGTAGCATCTAGGACCTGTCCGATGAAACTGTTTCGGCGGCCATTTGCTTTTGAAACCGACTGGTCGGGGCATGTTTTGCAAGTAGGGGTCTGATTTTACTAAGCTCTACAGTCCTTCGGGTTTAGTTACTAGCGGAGGCTGGTGATGCCAATTATCTAATCGAGATAAGTAATCTTAAAAACAGCGAGACGTTTTCTTCAAGCAAAACAGAGTGGACTTAATTTTTGTGGATTTCTCTCAACTCGTTTTCAAGTCACCTCACAGCTTTTCCTCACCATGGCAATGTGCCATTTTTCTCCCCACCTCATCCTTAGCATTATGCTCTCCAACTCAGGGTTTCACCTCATCAATCCTTACTTCATGATGAAGGGGTAAAGGGTCATCTCGGCCTTAGGCAACCCGACCAACCACTAAGCCCAGCCCAGTCTATATTGGAGTACCTTACATAGATGAAGGTTGACATGGTCGATGTGACTCTCCCCACATCGATGACCTCCGGACGTGATGTTAACATGCCTACCTTGACATAAACTCCCACTTCGATACGAACACGCCTGTTTGGAAAGTAACGCCATAACAAGCCTACTTCGATGGATGGTCTATATTGAACATTTGGCTTGCTACATGTGACTGCGACATTATCAACCTACTCGCGCTGTTGCTACTCAGTATCGATTACACACAACGTACAATGAATTCTCTCTACTGCTAAAGGCAACACAGGTGCGATCACGACCGTAAACTTAATACAGCTCTCACGATCAGCACTGAAAAGTACGGCTCTCACGGATCCTCTCAAAACAGCAATGAATCAACTAGTGGTATCCATTCATCGAATTCTATTATAGCTATAATTCTGGCTGGGGAGTACCGTAGTATGTTTACCACTACAAAATTACAACTACAATTCACTAGTATATAACACTTGCTAACTCGATTCTATGATGAGCTTCCTTTTCATAGACGAAGGTTGAAATTGACGATATCTACTTTCCCCTCACTATCAATAATTACAGATAACATAGGAATTTTCTGAAAATATAACTGTTGTGTTTTTATATAGCAATATTTTAAAATGAATTCCGCCTAGCAAAAATTAATGAAATATTCGCAAAGTGTTTAGATATATTTCCTGACTTACATTCTTGAAAACTAAATTAACTAAACAAAATATAACAAATAAATTAAAAATATTGAAGATTTCCTATTAATTTATTCTAAACTTGTGTGGATTTTTTTGCTAGTTTTTTTTATACTTTCCATAAATATTTATGCACTAATATAGGAATTTTCAAAGAATAAAAAGATCACATTTTTGTATGAAACCAGTTTTAAATCCCGCATTGAAAAGAGTTTCAAAAGAAAACAAATTGTCAAAAGTTCACTCTCATATTAGTTTATGTTATGGAATTTGCATATTTTGGATTAAATAAGTATTAAATGTTTTCTTTAAATATTTGCACTAATGTTTGCACCATGAAAGCTTACGAATTTGTATATTTTTGACTAAATTTTAAGTGTTTTCTTTAAATATTAACACTTATGAAAACTTATAAATTTGCATATTTTGGACTAAGAAAGATTTTTTTACACATATTTTTGTTAGATATTTTTTGACATATATGGGTATTTTCAGAAAATATGGCCTTCATATTTTAACATGGCATCAATTTAAAATCAGCCCAACATCTAAAAGAAAAGAAATTGTAACCCGAAACATTATTTTATTGAATTTAGGAATCCCGCTTTCTGGCATTCTTTAAATTCTTTTTTATTATTAATTCTTGACACATCTTTCGATTTTGAGGTTAAATACCTTTTTTTCACTCGAGTGGTTTATTCATTTCAGATAGTATTGTTCTCTTTAGATTGTTTATAGATAATAGAAGCATATCTTGTTCCAATTTAGAAAAAATTCCCTCCTCACGAAGCTATAATCTTGACTTCACGGAACTAAGGAATAACTAATCGAAATATTTGTTTTGGGATCTAATTCAGAACGTCTAGCTACAAAATAAACATTGTCGGGATTGTCTCCTGGTAGCTTTCCTAATCAGCTGACATTTCATGCATCTTGATTTTCATCCCTCCATTTCTAAAGGAAATCTTTCACCCTGTTACTCACTAGCTGTTCCTTAATTTGCCGGAAAATGGTTTTAGTTTCAATTGAGAAAATGAACATTTAAGCTCGCACTATACCCTATGGAGTTTTTGTTAATCTCTTCTGCGATATATTTCGAGAAAGCCAGTAATGTTTAATTTGAAAAATTTCTAAGCTTCTCTTTCGTTTGCTTCCGTTGAAACATCATTTCTCTCCAGTTTTGCTTTAAACTAAATTAGAAACTGACAACTTAGGCCTTTTCTAAAATTTCTATCAGCTGCATCTACCCAGATCCAGACTAGGTCACCCCTTTCTTAGTCCCTGCGGCTTTTGCCTAGACAAAATTTATTTACGTGGTGTAAATAACGTATTCAGAAAACATGTGCAGCTCAATGTAGTCTATTGATCGAGATAAATTTTTTGATTATCTGTTTCCTAAAAGCATTACAAGATCTAATTTTATGTCAGAAGTGGGAAAATAACTTTTTTTTTGGGGGGGGGGGATTAATCTGATTTTCTCTTTCAATATTTTTGACGCCATGATAAAAATATCTTTCTGACTGATTGTTTTTTAGTGTGATTAAGTTTTCCGTCTTTTCTTTTTACTTCGAGGAAGGAGCAAAAACAGAAATTTTGTGTAGCCTTTCTTGCAACACTATCAGATAACGCAAACAAAAAAGGGGTTTATTGAACAGTTTACTGATTCAAAAATTTAGTCTAAATTGAAATAGTTTCTTTTTTATATAAGTAATTTAATCGACCAGTAGTGTAATTACACCAACAAACCTCGACACTACGAACTCGATGAGAGACAGAAGGAATTCAGTGATATCGAAATTTGCAGACATCGAAAATCGAATATTTTTAAGTCAACCTTAATTACTGAACTGACATTCTAGAGCTTGTATTACATGTATTTAATTCAGAAAACAGTTACTTCAAACAAATTCATATCATTGTTCTTTTTTTTTCATTAGATTTCGCGTTTTTCAGAAATTCTTCAATTTCATCATTTACTATTTCTGAATCTTCAGTATCATCACACATTGCATGACCATCATATATTATATATCCGTCGCACGTCCACAGTATCTACTTCCTCATAATTATCAGAATAAATTCATTAAACTAGCAAGTTTTATTTATTCTTATGGTTGGTAATTCTTATCTGTGTTATTATCTGTATCTTATCTTACAAACATTACTTAAGAATGCATGGTACCGGAAACCTTTTAATCTGTCAGATATTCTCTTTTTTATTAGGATTATAAGAACTGGTCCATAAAATAATTTAACAAAAGCCTTTAAGCACTACATCTTAATGCACCATAAGTCGTATTCTGTTTTCTTTGGCATCAAACCTATGTATAATTTATTACAACCGTTGAAAGTGAAAATACGGTTTGGATTCTTATAAATTTAACAAATATAAATGACAAATGCAACATAACGTGAGCCAAAATTATTTAAAACTAGCCGCCTAAAGCGACCAGCTGTCGGCCACGCTATGTTTCTTGGGCCCTAGCACTGCTAGTAGAGACACGATCCTCTTCCAATCTTCTTTGACGTTTCTCGGGTGTTTCTCGGACCCTAGCACTGCTAATTGAGACACTAACCTCTTCTAATCTTCTTTGACGTTCCTCAGGTGTTTCTCGGGCCCTAACACTGCTAGTAGAGACACGATCCTCTTCTAATCTTCCTTGACGTTCCTCAGGTGTTTCTCGGGCCCTAGAACTGCTAGTTGAGACACGATCCTCTTCTAATCTTCTTTGACGTTTCTCTGATACTTCTTGGGCTCTAGAATTGCTTGTCGAAATTCGGTCATGTTCCATCCTTCTTTGACGTTCCACAGACGTTTCTTGGGCCCTTCTTCTTCTTTGAGAATCTCT